TAGTAATTTTTGGGGCCCTTTATAGCTTACTTTTCGGTGTGAGCCAAGGCTCCGTGTTGAAGACCGTACTGTGACCTATAATGGGTTACTTTTATAAATTTTGACTTGGATGGAGAGTTGTCTTATTGGCACTCATACCACATCTTCTTATGTCTATATATAACCTTGAAAATGTCAACCAGAAGTGACCTTTTTAAAACCAGAAGTAGCAATTTATCTCCCTTATTTTAAACTATATATTTTTAGAATCAGAGTAAAGTAAGCTAATATTTGACACAGGAAGTAACTTTGATTTAACCGGAAGTGGCTTATCATCTCCCTTAATTGATGAAAAAAGTTCCTCAAACATTGTATTTTCAAAATCAGTGTGTGATAAGCTATCATTTAAGCCCGGACTTATTGTTTTTTATCACAATTTTTCTTATCTTAAGTTAATTTGGGTGGAAAGACCTTCAATTGTTCTCTGAACAATTGGTGTTTAATTTCTTTTATAATGCAATCTAATCCACTAACTTTTACAGCGCACATACTCGAGTGTGTAGGTAAAAGAGGTATCTTTGCTTATCTTACTTATTAGTTCTTATCATTTTAACCTTACAAGTGGGAGGAGCAAAGTGCCATTCAATGATCTGTCTATTATTAATATATAGAAATAAAAGAGATGTGGTATGATTGCCAATGAGACAACTATCCACCAAAGTTCAAATGAAGTAGATGTAAGCAATTATAGGCAACCGTAGGGCCTTCAACAATGATAAAAACCCATACCGCAAAGTCACCTATAAAGGGTCCCGACATGAAAAATACGAAACAATTCAATTGAGAAAACTAATGGCCTAATTTAAATCAAAACAATTTATGAAAAACAAATATGACAGACACGACTCAACAACAACCATTGAACTACAGGCTCCTGACTTAGGACAGGCACATAAAGAATGTGACGGGGTTTAACATGTTTGTGAGTCCTTACCCGGGACAGTGGTGTTACAGCACAACATAGGAGCTAACTATAACAAGAGTGCACACACTGAAATGTCTCGCCTGCTTTACTTATGATTGAATTTATGTTGGAAGTCTGTAATATAAAGGTTTTACTACAAGTATCACTTAAAAAACTTAACATTATCAATGATCCATGAAAACGAAGTCAAGGTCAGATGTCATGTAAACCTTACAATCATTCCATATAACAAATATAGTGGCCCTATTGCTTATAGTATCCAAGTAATAGACCAAATCGCAAAAACAACATTGTCCAGTGAACCGTTAAACTGAGGTCAAGGTCAGATGAAACCTGCCAATCTGACATGTACACCTTACAATCATTCTATTCACCAAATATAGTTGACCTACTGCATATAGTTTCTGAGATACGGACTTGGCCACGTAACCTTAACTTGATCACTGATCCATGGATTGAGGTCGAGGTCAGGTGAACCCTACCTGCCGGACATGTAGACCTTGCAAGGAGCCCATATATTAAATATAGTTATCCTCTTACTCATAATAATTGAGTATTTCACTTAAAAAAAACCTATGTTTTTTTTTCCAAACAGTCACTGAACCATGAAAATGAGGCCAAGGACATATGACAGACGGAAAGTTCGTAATATAAGGTATCTGCATACAAGGTTTGAAGCATCCAGGTCTTCTAGCTTCTGAAATACAAAGCTTTAAACAAATAGCCGCCACCGCCGGATTCTAATCCCTATGTCTCGCATTCTGCGACTTTCGTCAAAAATCATTTAAAAAGGGCTATACTCATCAGATCGATAAAAAGCAGAAAAACATCTAACAATAACACAGACCGAACGTGGCAGGGTATTTATACATCCCTAACAACAAATAAGACACAAAGTACAGATCCGAGAGTACTCGAAGTTACTGACAGCTAGTTCAAAGCCAATAACAACTAATAAAAGAATCTAAGACTAAAATGTATGTTTCATGCAAAGCTTTACATAGTATTACTTCCTGCTATATGAATGAACTTTTCTTTCTAATAGAATTTCGTCCAATATACAAAATCTTTTGATTATTATAAAAAAAAAATAAGGAGGAAAAAACTCATCAGAGAAGAACAGTTTCGAACTTTTTACGCTGCGGATAGGCAGTTGTAATTTTGTATTTCCCGCATACATAAAATAAGATTTGTTTTGGAGATCTGTTCATTATATATGTATAATTTTGTTTGAATAAAGTCTTTTACATTCACATAGAAAATAAACAAAGCTTTTTATATAGATTAGACCGTTGGTTTTCCCGTTTGAATGGTTTAACACTAGTAATTTTTGGGGCCCTTTATAGCTTGCTGTTCGGTGTGAGCCAAGGCTCCGTGTTGAAGACCGTACTTTGACCTATATTGGTTTACTTTTATAAATTTTGACTTGGATGGAGAGTTGTGTCATTGGCACTCATACCACATCTTCTTATATCTATTAACAACAAAATTTATTTTCATTTACCTGTGTATAATATGACGCAGGTTTCTTCAAAAGTGATGATTTTCTATAAATTGTTTGAAATTTCACAGTGATATCATACGTTAACTTTGTTTAAACCTGTTTATTTACTTTTGACTTTAAATATTTATCCCTTGTTATTTTTTATTAACTGTGTATTTGCATTCAGGTGTCACAGGTCAAATTTATTCGTTCATTGTGTGTGTTAATTTACGTTTTTTGAATGAGTTAAGCCTTCAAATTGATATTTTATAGTGTGTTTTTCTATGTTGTGATGTTATACTATTGTTTCAGAAAAGGGAGAAGGTTTGGTACCATTAAAACGTTTAAACCCGCTGCATTTGTTTGCACCTGTCCTAAGTCAGGAATCTGATGTTCAGTAGTTGTCGTTTGTTGATGTGGTTCATAAGTGTTTCTCGTTTCTCGTTTTTTATATAGATTAGACCGTTGGTTTTTCCCGTTTGAATGGTTTTACACTAGTAATTTTTGGGGCCCTTTATAGCTTACTTTTCGGTGTGAGCCAAGGCTCCGTGTTGAAGACCGTACTGTGACCTATAATGGTTTACTTTTATAAATTTTGACTTGGATGGAGAGTTGTCTCATTGGCACTCATACCACATCTTCTTATATCTATATATAACCTTGAAAATGTCAACCAGAAGTGACCTTTTTAAAACCGGAAGTAGCAATTTATCTCCCTTATTTTAAATATTTTTTAAAAATCAGAGTAAAGTAAGCTAATATTTGACACAGGAAGTAACTTTGATTTAACCGGAAGTGGCTTATTATCTCCCTTAATTGATGAAAAAAGTTCCTCAAACATTGTATTTTCAAAATCAGTGTGTGATAAGCTATCATTTAAGCCCGGACTTATTGTTTTTTTATCACAATTTTCTTATCTTAAGTTAATTTGGGTGGAAAGACCTTCAATTGTTCTCTGAACAATTGGTTTTTAATTTCTTTTATAATGCAATCTAATCCACTAACTTTTACAGCGCACATACTCGAGTGTGTAGGTAAAAGAAGTATCTTTGCTTATCTTACTTATTAGTTCTTATCATTTTAACCTTACAAGTGGGAGGAGCAAAGTGCCATTCAATGATCTGTCTATTATTAATATATAGAAATAAAAGAGATGTGGTATGATTGCCAATGAGACAACTATCCACCAAAGTTCTAATGAAGTAGATGTAAGCAATTATAGGCAACCGTAGGGCCTTCAACAATGATAAAAACCCATATCGCAAAGTCGGCTATAAAGGGCCCCGACATGAAAAATATGAAACAATTCAATTGAGAAAACTAATGGCCTAATTTAAATCAAAACAATTTATGAAAAACAAATATGACAGACATGACTCAACAACAACCACTGAACTACAGGCTCCTGACTTAGGACAGGCACATAAAGAATGTGACGGGGTTTAACATATTTGTGAGCCCTTACCCGGGACAGTGGTGTTACAGCACAACATAGGAACAAACTATAACAAGAGTGCACACACTGAAATGTCTCGCCTGCTTTACTTATGATTGAATTTATGTTGGAAGTCTGTAATATAAAGGTTTTACTACAAGTATCACTTAAAAAACTTAACATTATCAATGATCCATGAAAACGAAGTCAAGGTCAGATGTCATGTAAACCTTACAATCATTCCATATAACAAATATAGTGACCCTATTGCTTATAGTATCCAAGAAATAGACCAAATCGCAAAAACAACATTGTCCAGTGAACCGTTAAATTGATGTCAAGGTCAGATGAAACCTGCCAATCTGACATGTACACCTTACAATCATTCTATTCACCAAATATAGTTGACCTACTGCATATAGTTTCTGAGATACGGACTTGACCACGTAACTTTAACTTGATCACTGATCCATGGATTGAGGTCGAGGTCAGGTGAACCCTACCTGCCGGACATGTAGACCTTGCAAGGAGCCCATATATTAAATATTGTTATCCTCTTACTCATAATAATTGAGTATTTCACTTAAAAAAAACCTATATTTTTTTTCAAACAGTCACTGAACCATGAAAATGAGGCCAAGGACATATGACAGACGGAAAGTTCGTAATATAAGGTATCTGCATACAAGGGTTGAAGCATCCAGGTCTTCTAGCTTCTGAAATACAAAGCTTTAAACAAATAGCCGCCACCGCCGGATTCTAATCCCTATGTCTCGCATTCTGCGACTTTCGTCAAAAATCATTTAAAAAGGGCTTTACTCATCAGATCGATAAAAAGCAGAAAAACATCTAACAATAACACAGACCGAACGTGGCAGGGTATTTATACATCCCTAACAACAAATAAGACACAAAGTACAGATCCGAGAGTACTCGAAGTTACTGACAGCTAGTTCAAAGCCAATAACAACTAATAAAAGAATCTAAGACTAAAATGTATGTTTCATGCAAAGCTTTACATAGTATTACTTTCTGCTATATGAATGAACTTTTCTTTCTAATAGAATTTCGTCCAATATACAAAATTTTTTGATTACTATAAAAAAAAAATAAGGAGGAAAAAACTCATCAGAGAGGAACAGTTTCGAACTTTTTACGCTGCGGATAGGCAGTTGTAATTTTGTATTTCCCGCATACATAACATAAGATTTGTTTTGGGGATCTGTCCATTATATATGTATAATTTTGTTTGAATAAAGTCTTTTACATTCACATAGAAAATAAACAAAGCTTTTTATATAGATTAGACCGTTGGTTTTCCCGTTTGAATGGTTTAACACTAGTAATTTTTGGGGCCCTTTATAGCTTGCTGTTCGGTGTGAGCCAAGGCTCCGTGTTGAAGACCGTACTTTGACCTATATTGGTTTACTTTTATAAATTTTGACTTGGATGGAGAGTGTAGTTGATTGTCTAAATATCTTGCATGTTACTAGATCCCCTCCATTCTAAAAAAAAAACCATTTCCATGACAGACAAAGTGTAGTTGTTAACTTCCTCGTCCCATTGTTTGAATACGGTTGGTTATATCAAACCTATTAAACTCATGATTAAGTTTATTTGATTTTATTATTGTGAAATTCATTTTCGTATGCATTTCTGCGTGTATTATACATTAGTTGCTTTTGCTTCTATAAAATGCAAGACTTTATGTAAATTTATAAACTGTGTGCCTCTGGATGTGGACGGACCAAACCAATTAATTGTTACAAAACATATGAATACTTCAATCATCAATCTTAAATAAATCTTAAATTATCTGGTAAACTGATAGCAATCTTAATGTCCTAAAAGTATAGCTTTTGAGATTAGATAATGATTTACAAAAAGAGTAGTATTTAGTTCTTGAAATAAACCATGTAGACATTTTATGGTTTATTCATTAATATCCTCTTCTTCTCTGTTGCCTTCCTCTAATGGTGCCACTTTCGTTTTCATTTTCCTACAATACAATGTAAATACATAAATTTTTCACATAAAGGATTTACACGTTATGCTTAAAAAAAGAGCTCAAACAAAAATTTCAAATCTTAGAAATGTGCTGCAAACACGGTGACCTATCGTTGTTTACCGCTACTTCATTTGGTCTCTGGAATCGATGACATACTCACTAGGTTGGTACTTTTGTCTTATCGTTCCCCGAGAGCAACAGTCACCAGTAGCATAGAACTCTAGTACTGGTATGATACAAAGAATATCTTAAGATGGAAATTTTGAGTATTTGGAACAAACTTGCCGTATAGAAGAATATTTTCCTAAATTGAACAAATGAATAACCATCCATTCATTTTTACCTATCGATGTCTGTGGCGTGGCTTCCATTTAGGCAATGAGGCAATGAGGCAACTGCATACATCACCAAATTTTTTTACCAGTAAAAAAGACAATATAAAGAGAGATACAATATATAACGTGTTTTCACAGTATAGAGTATACAGTGTAAATGGTTCAAAACATTTGACTTCTCTATCCTTTACACACGCATTCCTCAATCAAAATTAAAAACTAATTAGCCCAACTTTATTTCATAAAAATTACCTATGTAGACACATTTTTTTTTTATTGGAACGAACAAATAATACTTAACAAAAGAAATCCTAATTCAGACAAGAAGTCAGAGCTGTGAAATTGACATGTTTCTCGATTTTTTTAAAAGTTTGAAATACGTGGTTTTCAATAAACACTAAAAAGCCTTGAAATTCCAATGCGGACCAACTGTGCTTCTCTTCCAACCGACATGTACCTATCATATGATCCAGACGTCATAGCTCAATCAGTTGTGATACATATATGCATCTGGGCTAGTTATAAAAAGTTACAAAACATAGTTGATCTTAAAACTTTAATATCACCGAATCTGTACAAAAGCATTTAAGAGGTGGTCATGATTCTGTCAGTTATTTTGGTTTTAATCAGGACTTGTCTTAATTTGACTGATACCGAGAACAACATTTTTACCAGTAGTTTCATTCAAATGAAATGATTTAAAGCGCATTGGAAAATACTATTATTTCATGATAAAAAATCCACAAATATGGATTGTTCATAGACAAGAACTTTGCGCCAGGTTGTAGTGACCCCCCGCCCCCCTCCCCTCCCTAAAAAAAGAGAGAGAAATAACACAGCACTTATGACTTATAGATTGAAATCATGATTCAAATTATAATTACAATGTAATAGAAATTTATGTACAGATATGAAAAATCCTCTGTTTCAAATAATTATTTCAATTTTAAAAGACTGTTCGGTTAAATGCTGGTGGACTATCAGTCCCAGAGGGTATCATCAGCTCAGTAGTTAGTACTTTGGTACTGACATGATTTATACCAAACTTTTCTAAAATTGCCCGTTTATAAATTTTGAAATTATAAAGAAACTAAGATTTCAACTCCCTCAGGCAAAGTTGACCTTAGATGGATTTGGCTATTTGTTTTAGGTATTTTTGTCATATAGCTCTTCAACTGTTTCGGTACTTATACATCCCTCGGATTTCAAATGTTTGGCTTTGAGCGTTCCTGATGAAGGTTAATCCAGAAAAGCGCTTCGGACGCATGAAATTATAAAACGTGTTGTTTTCCATTTTTTACATCACTGGGTCGATACCTCTGCTGGTGGACTATCAGTCCCCGAGGGTATCATCAGCTCAGTAGTTAGTACTTTGGTACTGACATGATTTATACCAAACTTTTCTAAAATTGCCCGTTTATAAATTTTGAAATTATAAAGAAACTAAGATTTCAACTCCCTCAGGCAAAGTTGACCTTAGATGGATTTGGCTATTTGTTTTAGGTATTTTTGTCATATAGCTCTTCAACTGTTTCGGTACTTATACATCCCTCGGATTTCAAATGTTTGGCTTTGAGCGTTCCTGATGAAGGTTAATCCAGAAAAACGCTTCGGACGCATGAAATTATAAAACGTGTTGTTTTCCATTTTTTAAATGCATTAATTCATCGATGACAGAAAAGGGTGTTAAAACGATCATATATTAGACATTTTAATGATCTTTGCGCCTGTCCGAAGTAAGAAACCTTAAAGGAATAATTAAGTAACTGATTATTGAAATGTTGCAGTTAAATTGACTTTCTTTCTTTATCCTACGTAACTTTAATTCTCTGCTGATTAACTTGGAAATTATAAAGAGACTAAGGTCTCAACTCCCTAAAACAAAGTTGACCTCAGATGGATTTTTTTATTTTATTGGTAGTAAAGCTCCGCACGTATTCAAGTAGTAATACATCATTTTGCTTTCATAATTTTGATATATATCAATATATCAGTGACCGCTGTGGTTATTTCAAAGTTTACTATCCACAGCGGTCACTGATATGACCGCTGTGGTTAGTAAACTTGGAATTGATAGTAAAGAGCAAATTATATCAGTGACCACTGTGGATAGTAAACTTGGAATTGATAGTAAATAGCAAATACAAGTAATTTCTAATATATTTATGTTCATATTATACAGAAAAACGCGAAAATAATTGAAATGTATAGAAAACAAATAAATAACGGATTTTGGAAAAAAGGGAGGGGCAAAAAAAAAGTTGTCCTGTCCCCAGGTACCTATGCAGATAATTAGCGTTCCAGTGATATAATACAGCCGTTTGTTAGGTGTGTGTATTAAAGTCCTTAACCAAGAGACTTAAAGAAAAATGTCACTCGCCTTTATAGATCGCTTGGGGCATTTTTGTTACCTTTTGTCGGTGCTTTGCTTTTGCCCAAATCTGGCATTTCATTTTCGACAAAAAAAAGCTTTCATTTGCGCCACAAACATTATTTCATTTGCGCCAACAATACAGTTACAAAGTAATATATTTTTTACTTTCGAGTTAAATTTCGTCCGTTCAATCATTATATGTTACCCCCAATTCACCCTTGGGAGAAGTAGGAGGATATCGAGCAGGATAAGTTTCGAGAAAAATAACAATAAAGTTAAAACACAATATCAACACCTTTTGCTTGCATTTATCAACTATATTTCATTAGCGCGAAAATAAAATATTTAATATGCGCCATTAATACAGGTAAATACTTTAAATAATAGTAATATATTTTTACTATTGAGTTTATATTAATAATCTCTTCCGTTCTTCCATCATTATAGTTAACCCATGTCACTATTTGGAGGAGGAAGTAGGATATCGAGCACGAGTAGTTCCGAGAAAAATAACAATAAAGTTAAAACACAATTTCTACAGGTTTTGTTTGCATCATAAAACTACGTGTGTCCCTATTTGTTGCCATAGTGAATCTCTGCATCTAGATAATATGAAATATAAAGATGTGGTATGATTTCCAATCAGACAGAGACCAACTGATGTAGTTGTAAGCAACTATAGGTCACCATGTGGCCTTCAACAATGATCAAATTTAAAATAAACCCAGACCATAAAGTAAGTTATAACACGGACTGACATGAAAAAATGTAAAATATTTTAAAAAACCAACGGCCTGATATTTGTTCAAACTCAGTCTCAATTCTTCTATAATACACTGGATAATCTGAACATGTATTGCACCATAATTTTTTACTTCATTTTACATTAGAACACTGCATTTGTTTACCTTTATCTTTTATTGATATTAAAATTGAGAATGGAAATGGGGAATGTGTCAAAGAGACAACAACCCGACCATAGAGCAGACAACAGCCGAAGGCCACCAATGGGTCTTCAATGCAGCGAGAAACTCCCGCACCCGGAGGCGTCCTTCAGCTGGCCCCTAAACAAATATGTATACTAGTTCAGTGAAAATGGACGTCATACTAAACTCCAAATTATACACAAGAAACTAAAATTAAAAATGATACAAGACTAACAAAGGCCAGAGGCTCCTGACTTGGGACAGGCGCAAAAATGCGGCGGGGTTAAACGTGTTTTTTGAGATCTCAACCCTCCCCCTATACCTCTAGCCAATGTAGAAAAAACAAACGCACAACAGTACGCACAGTAAAACTCAGTTTAAGAGAAGTCCGAGACCGATGTCAGAATAGGAAACAAAAGAAAATAAACAAAATGACAATAATACATAAATAACAACAGACTACTAGCAGTTACTGACATGCCAGCTCCCGACCTCAATTAAACTGATTGAAAGATTATGTCTTCATCATATGAATATCAGGCACAATCCCTCCTGTTAGGGGTTTAGTATTATACCATCATAAAATATATGAGAAGAACATAACCCGTGTCATGCCAACAACTGGTTTTAGAATAAATATGTTTAATTCCGATGCAAAGACCCTATAAGTGAATCAATATTAAAGCCAAAATATTCAATCTTTAATGACCTGACAACAGTATCGTAACTATATCCCTTCTTGATAAGTCTGTTTAAAGGTTTTGTTAGCTTTTGAGGTGAATACTGACATTTTTGTGCTTTGTAAAGAATATTACCATAAAAGATTGGATGTGAAATACCCGAACGTATAAGATGTCTGCATGTTGAGTTATATTTACGAATGATGTCCTTATACCGATGATAAAATTTAGTAAATGTTTTGACTAGTTTATGATATCGAGAACCCTGGTGTAATAATTGTTCAGTAATACATAAATTTCTCTCGCTAAAATCTAATACGTTGTTACATACACGAGCGAATCGTACAAGTTGAGATATATAAACACCATAAGATGGTGACAAGGGAACGTCACCATCTAAAAATGGATAATTAACGATAGGAAATGAAAAATCATCTCTTTTATCATAATTTTTTGTATTAAGCTTCCCGTTAATGATATAGATATCAAGATCGAGGAAAGGACAGTGGTCATTTTTAGTATTAGCTTTATTTAAAGTAAGTTCAACAGGATAAATTTCTTTAGTAAACATACTGAAGTCGTCATTATTGAGAGCCAATATATCATCCAAAATGTTTTTCCGTAAACTTGTACTTAAATTTTAGAGAATAAAGTATCCGTCTATCTGTCATACGTA